AAAAAAAAAGCTGTAATAGAGTTTTAACCATATTTTCCACCTTGTACTGTTACTGCAACTATCCCTTTAAAAGTCTACTGAGCTTTTTATAGTAAAAAAAAAAACTTATTTAGAATTTTAAAATATTTAATGTATAATTTAAAATTATTCTAGGGAAAGCGACTCTGCAAATGCAGCTCTGTGACAGCAGTCTGGGAAATACGGGATAGTGCCCAATACATCCCATTTATTGCCAACTGACCCATGTTCCCATGTCATCCCTGGGCACTCAGGCACCATGTTAAACCTTTCATTCTCTACTTGCACCATCTGAACCATTTTCATGGTGACAGCCAATGTTTCAGCCAGCACAGAGCATTTCTTCTTTTATGACTTTGAGATGACCTATGGAATGTATGGATCTTTAATACAGAAAAATGTTCTGACTAATTTTAAGAAGTGAAATACAGGCAGAATCGTGTCTGCCATCTTATCCTACCTTTAATAGAATAAATATGACTGAGTGTAATGGCCAAAATCCCTGACAGCCTCAGGTTTGCCAGCACTGGTTTTCCATGTGCTTTCAGCCAGGGATTGGGAACCTTGGCTGAGCACAGAGCACTTAACGTGCCTCAGACGGTGCCTCAAGATTTCCTGTGCACAAGTGAGCAGACAAGCCATGGTTGGGAAAAGTTTGGGTTTTCCACCTTCCTCAAAACCCTGGTGGAAGGGGAATTCTGCCTGTTGTACTCAGCGTGTCAAGCCCTTTGCAGAGGTCCCATAAAGGGACCTCATCACCTTTGCTGTAACACCTCATACCCCTTGTTAACTCTTCTCTTTTATGGTCCTGTAGGTAAGAGTTCATCTGACTGAAATATCCCTGAGGCAGCTGACAAGAAACCTTGAACTGCTTGAATACAAAACCAGATGCCTGCATTCAGTGTGGGGTGACCCTCTGCTCCAGCTCTCTGGAGCAGCGAGGCAGAGCAGTCCCAGGGCAGGCGGGAGACTCTGGAGTGCCGCCAGGCTGATGGAGACCAGCATTTGGCCGAGGATTATCCTCAGGCCCCTCATCATCACATTTTCGCTTGTTCTGTGTGGATGGGGACTTGATGACAATTCCCTGAATTTCAATTTGGAAGAAAGGGCTTCATGTTTGACCTTTTCTCTCCAGCGTCGTGTCTGCCTGCCTTGCCCGCAGGCTTCAGATGGGTCCTGTTCCCTTCGGTTTAAGGTCCAGATAAGGTAAGCTGGAGTAGCAATGCCTGCTCTTTTTTTCTGGTTTGCTTTTGGCTTAGAGCATTATCAGGCAGTCCCTGGGTTTAGTTTCTGCATTCGTTTCACTGCTTTCATAAAACTGGCTCAGCAATTTTGGATGACCGATAAGGAATGAACTTTCTCTCACCCGCAGCTGCTCTGATATGAATTTTTAAAATCCCTCTGTACTGAACAAATGCAGAAGATACTACTGACAATTTTCAAATAACTCAAAGAATTTTCATACATAAATACTCAGAGTCAGAGTTTTATCTGAACATGATCTAAATGCTCTGAAAACTTCCAAAGGCCTCACAAATATGAAGATACTTTCCTCAAAGTCACAGGAGGATTAAAAGTGAGAGAAAAAAAGACAATACCAAGAAATCAGCTGGGCACTAAGTTCCCCTGCTGGGCTTTAGGAGTGACAGCACTCGAGTCTAAAAACTGGTAACTGAGAAAAGCAACATAGAGATGGGAATGGAGCAAAGGGCTGCCTTGACAAGAAGCAATCTGAAAAATTTTGACTCTGCTGTGATTTTCTTCCCCCTCCCAAAAAAGAAGAAATAAAAAAAAGCCAAGTTATTTCAATGTAAGCATGTTAAATAACTGGCATCTGTCCTGAAATCTTGTAAAACAAATTGTAGCTCTGTGCAATTAAGTCCTCTGGGTTATAGTATCCTCCAAGATTAGACATCTCTAATGGGAGTGTTGACAAGCCCTTCAGTGTAGCATTGCAGTGGTGCCCCCTCAGAGAAAGAAGCAAAGCTCCGGGGAAATAATTAAAGAACATTTTGGTCAGCCTGTGATGCAAATACAAATTTTTCAGGTTATGCAGAAATAAACTGGAAACCCACAGAACATCACCAAAAGAGACTAAGGAGACTGAGTGATGCTTGTCCAAATGGGCCTGAAAGGAAACAAAAAGGCTGGGAAGACAGAGAACAAGAAGGTTTTGGAGTAGCTGTGGCTCAGGAAAATCTCTCTCTCCTCCCTGTCCCTCTAATTTTTTATTGTAGTCTGACAGTGGAGACAAAAGTAACCCATCTTTTCATTAATCCTAAACCCTTCTCCTTCATCTGGAAAACTGACATCAATTATTAATTTGGATTCACATTGTACTAATTCGGAATCTTGCTAGGGAACAGTACTTGCATATCCAGATCTGTTATTTTCACCAGTGTGGGCCTCTATTCTGTGTCAAGCAAAGCTTTTCTTGTTACCTTTTAACAGTCCTACAAATAGTAGGGTCTGCTCCTTACACAGACCATACTTGGCCAGCTCAATACTTCCAGTTGTTCTTCAGCTCTGTTACTTTTTGCTTCAAGAAGCAAATTTAGTGCAAAAAACATCAAGGAAAAAAAATATTTTAAAATTGATTTCTTAATTGTTGATGGCTATCTAACAAAGCCAACTTTTGGTTATTTTGGCAGTACAGTAAATTTAGGAGGTATCTGATCTTCAGTGGGGCATTTCTGGATAAGAAAACAGTCAAATTTAAATCAAGACTTGAAAAATTAAGAGTCATAAACTACAGGGAGGAGCCAAGTCATGAAGTCTCTTCTTTCTCTCCTTTCCCACTTTTCCTCATACAGCCATGATTCACTGAGGGAGTGTTTTGAACATTTCCACAACTGCAAGCATTTGGACAGAAGGAATGGGTGAAGAAAATGTATTTTAACAATTAGCCAATACATGGTGGTCTCTCCTAAAAAATCAAAAGGCAAGAAGTAGATACATCCAAGGCGTGAAAAGGAGATAGGATGTTTAAATCACTTTTATCATTTTTTTGTACATACTGATGTTTAAAATGGTATTGGTTAATGATACAATATTTTTTCTAATGTACCCTAGAGTCCCTAATTATTGCTTGAGCCACCTGAAGGGATTATTTAATTTTTAAATAATTTCTGCAGCGAAATGAGGAGATCCCACATTGGCTGCATGAGCATTCTTGCCATTGCCCGTGGCTGGAGTTGCCTGATGCCGTGAGTTTTCTATTTCATGGACCACTGTGAGAGAAAATCACGTGCTGAGGGAGTAACCCAGCAATGAAGGAGTAAATAGCTGCTGCTCTGAAGATCAGCTTATTAAGAGGCAGACATCTGAATGAAGTGAGGTTCCTGGGGAGTCTGTGGCACCAGACATGCCAAAAAGGGAGGCATGAAACCCTGTTATGTGCCATGACCAAGCAAAAGGCGTTTTCACCTAGGCAGGATTGGTGGTTAATATTCTGCTCCTGTGCTGTGCTCACTGAAGCCCCGGAGTGCTTTTGTTCGTGATCTGGGTCTTGTGCAGCACATTTACGTGTGACCGACTGTTGGAGTGGCTCAGTCACCTCGGTACAGAACAGGGCTCAGCTGAAATGCCAAAGGCACGAGCTTCGTTTGGGACACGAGGAAAACCAAACAAAAATATCACAACTTTTTTTTTCTCTTTCTTTTTTTCTTTGATAAAAGCCTTAACAACAGCTTCCTTATTCAACAGGATGGTGTGTCATATGGTTACATTACATCTGGTCAAGACACTAAAGATTATTTAGCTTTTAACTAACTTTTTTTACTTTTAATTGAGTTTGTTAGGCATAAATAGCTGAATGACACAGCATTTGTTTAACTCAGCAATATTCACAGCTTAATTAAATAATTCACATGCCAGTCTCTAATTGTGACGTGAAAAGACCAAAAACCAAATTAAATAATCATAGCTCCCTGAGCCAATTGCTTGGAAAAGAGGAGCAGGGTTTGTTGAGACATATGGCAAACAATCTTTGCTGCAAACCAGCAAGCTAAAACACATCACTACTACCATGTGGTAAGAGTATATATCCTTTTGCACAATATATTTTCAAAACACACTCTCGCCAGGAGCAGCAGGTGTGTAACTCAACAGCTGCACCAGGGTTTGAACAGATAACTCGAGTACTATGAATTGGAAGGAAAGGGAGGAACCTGGGAAAGGGGATGAAATATCGTGAATTAAAATCGCAATTTCCCTTAGAGTTTTTTTAATTGTTTACTTATAAGTTGGGGATTTGTGAAATGTGACAAATAAGGAAGTAATTGAGAGTGCCTGCTGCACTGAGATCTGTCTCTGCCAACATAGTAGAAATTGGTGTTGGAATTAACTTCAGTGGAATTAAGCACCCACACCAATTGGAGTGAGGAATGAAGCCACAGATATAGTTGCTATGAATCCGCCAAGGTTTGTTGTTTGTTTTTTTATATTATGGCTTTATTACCTAATCACCCTGTTGTGCTACATGCATACTGTATGCAAAAAAATACAGATTCTGTGCCCAGCACCAAAATGCAAAGAAGTCACCATCTATTGCTGTGTTTAGCAGACGTTATCCCACACGGGAACAATGACAGTAACCTCAAATAACAACAGTTTTCTGTTGCCCAGGTTCTCTGCTGTGGTGCTGTTGTTTATGGTGTGGCACAGGCAGGAGAAGGAGGTGTGCAAGGGAATATCCACTGGAGCCAGAACGGCAGGGCCTTGGTAAGTGAGCTGTTTGTTCATATTTTTCTATTGCGTATTTGAGAGAGTCAGACCCAAACAGAACTGCCAGGACAGAATATTCCTCTGAGAGGATGAACATGGGTTATGTGTCTCGGCTTTGCCAAAACACTATGGAAACCACTGCTTCAGTTTGGGAATAAAGACGTAGGCACAAACACTGCCTCAGGCAGGGTGAAGACCACCCTTGGGCAGAAGTGTTTGGGAGCTGCAGTGGTGAAAGGATGGGGGTGTGCTTTGTTTTGCAGAACATTTGGGTGTGTATAACAGGCCTGTCTAAGCAGAATTGGTGTGTCTGATGGCTGATCCAATATTCCAAGGAGGTCCTCTATTCAGAACTTGTTTTCCTTCCACGCTTACCCTACTTTGTGTATTGTGCTAGATTATACTGGTTTCATAAGTGGCAGTCACAGTTACTGTCCATCTGGATATGTTTTGAGGCTCTATAAAGTTTTAACAACTGTGAAAGGGGAAAATACAAAAATATGCAGCCAGTCTGATGTGGTTATCTCGAGATTTACCCTCCTGTCACCAGGAAGGCACAGAGCACCCTTCGTAGTCCATGTAAAACTTATTTAGATCTGTACCTTAATAACACAGCAAAAAGCATTCTCTTGTGAGTTCAGATTATCTCTTTCAATCTGTAATCTTTTAATGAATGAAAATAATTATAATATTAAAGTCATACTAACACATCTCTACGCATTCAATCTTGATTCAGGTCATGTATAACTGAATCAGATACTTGGTTAACTCTTGTGCTTGTCCTATTGCTTGCTTTTAAATAAGGGGATATTATACTTTTCAGTATGTTTTAATAAGATTTTGGGTTGCTATAATTTATTCTCACGCTATTCACTATGGAATGCCAGTCAGTTCTCAAAATCCTTGTACATGCTTGTCACATTTTTTTCACATTTAAAAAGCCCTCTTTTCCATGTTAACCCAGACTAAATTACCCTGTCAATCTTTAACTCCTACCTCTGTGCTGATAGATTATGACATGCATCTGGCAAGGCAAGATAGTTCTGCAAATAAACTACTCAGGTGCCCATCCTGAATCTGTGCAGTAAGGCTTTTGAGGTCAGAAGGTTTAGATTTGTCATCTCTAAGTGTAAAAGTAGGACAGGTACTTGTGTCGAGTCAAAGGGACACAGGGCTTTGGGACTGCACCTCTTTAAACTCCTGCCTTTGCATCATCAGATAATTCATGGCTCGTTTTCCTCCTGGGCTGTTTGTGTGTGGCTCAGCAATCAGCAGTGCTGTGGTTTATTCCCAGCCGTGGCACAGAACAGCACAGGACACTCAGCACCACTTTTTGCTCACCCCAGGCAGGCTTCCTGTGGATGGTGGGTGGGTGACTGCAGCCCACGGCTCCCGGGAGCTGCCTGTGAACCCGCTAATGGTGTACAAGTGCAGAGCCACCAGTGCCAGGTCTGTGCTGGGCTGAGGTCACACTGTGACAGGAGATTTATCGGCACAGCATGTCCAGCTGGAGCTGGAAGCAGAGCCTTTCTGCTCAGCAGGTGCTACAAAAGGACCGGCACATGCCAAGTCCTGGTGCCCGGAGTGCCAGTGCACTGCCCATTACTGCAGCCCTCAGTCAGCTCCAAATCACCCCATGGCCCAGCTCTGCTTTCAGTTGTGCTGCTCCTGATGTATTGATGAACACACAGCAGAGGAGAAACCAAATTACACAGAACTGTCTTGTTCTGATGTATTGGGCAGTTAGTTGCCAGCGGCCCCCAGAGCACAATAATACCTGTGCTGAGAACAGTGTCAGGGCTCTCTGCACAGCAGCTGAAGCCGTGCCTGCAATTCAAGTGTGATTTAAGTCTCTCTTGTTCATGCCCAGCTTTCTAGTACTTCAGCCCTTGGCTATCCCACATAGGCCCATACAATATTTTTCTTTGCCATCTGTAAGAGAGGATTAAACCATGTTGGGCTGGAGGAAACCTCTTCTGCTGGGGGAGGGGGGGAAAAAGTTCCTGTGAGATTATCACAGGGCAGAGATGCTGTTAGGACAGGGAAGGATTTTCCTGTAGGGTCTTAGTGCCCATCTGTAATAAATTTTTATGAGGGTTTGGGGGAAACAGAGACCTGGGCTAACCAGCAGGTTAGTGGTTTGGAAAGCTGCACAACCCAGTTACTGGCAAATCTTTGTTTTATCCATCCTGACAGGTTCTGCCATACCATACAGGTAGGTATTTTTTTCTAATGCTGTAATATAAATCATTGTCAGGTCATCAGCATTCCCACAGTTTTCCAAAGTATTTTTGTGTCTGCCAAAGATTCCCACAGGACCTCTAGGCCTATAGGATGCTATATAAGCTCCTTTAATGGAGCATGTAGTGCTGAACTGTGCTCTGCTGCAACATTCCCACTCAGAGGAAGAGGCATAAGGAATGAGGTGATCCCTAGAGTTATGGCTTAAGAACCATATTAAGATCTCTAGTAATAATATGTCTTAAACCATCATAGCAAAGTAAACCAATCTTTTACTTATACAAAAGCTTTTTTTCCTTTCACTATTCACTTAAGAAAATTCCATATGCGGATCCCAGAGTAGAGTAAGACACCATCAGGAGACTGGAACCTGTGCCAGCCTGCAGAGGCCTGTCCTCCAGCTGAGAACAGCTCAAGTGCAACATGTGCTGGCCCTGTGTCCTCCTCTGCCTTGTTCAGTTTTCCTTTGAGTGAGTACCTATTTCCCCTCTTTTTTTCCTAAACTTTCAAAAAAATTTTAAAAAAAGAGATAGAATTCAGTTCACGTGTTATTTTGTGAGCATCTTTTTTATCTCTGGGAGTTGGAATTACTGTCTTTGCCATCTAATAACACAACAGAAGTCCTGAAAATAGGAAGTGATGTGTCAGATCCCAGGGCTGCTTTTGCCACCCCACAGTGATGCTGCCCTGCTCTTGTGCTGCCCTGCTTTGCTGAAGGTTGTGAGATCAAAGCTCCAGCCACACTAAAGGATTTGAAGCAAAACAGGCCCTTTTATTTTCAGATCATCTCAAGGGCCTTCGAGAGCAGGAGGAAACCAAATGACAGTTAATGGATCTGGGAGGGCCTGACCTGAGGATAAGGTTAAGTGGTGTAATAATCTCCATCCTGAACTTGGGGCTGTGGAGCAGCTTCCCTAATGTGCTGGTCACAAGGTGAACCACTCTGAGCAAACCTCACAGATTTTCTGCCCACACCACTTAGAGCAAAGCTCAGGGTTCTGTTAAACACCTGAATCCTCCCCTAAAATACTTCCTTTTCTTTAATTAATGACTACTTTCCTCCACATTACACTCACTGATAAACTTGTCATATTTCTGTGCACTGACCTTTCTTTGGTGCTCTGATTTTTTCACTTCCAAAAGCACAGTGTGTCATATTTTCTAGATCTAAAACATTTCTTAGTTAAATTATAGGCTTTCTTCTTTGAGAATCAAAAAAGTTAATGCATGAGTTCTCTTTGTTTGGCTTTGTTGTGAGGGAAGGGAGTGGTCTGGCTGAAGAACTGTTTCTTTTGAGAGAGTGTTGGATGGCCATATCAGTCAGATTTTTGTTTTTCTTTCTTTGCCTAGAGAAACTCTGCAATTCATTAGCTAGTTTTATCTTTCTTTCAATGTCCTCTTTATGCTTGTTGTTAAGACCAGTGTAGGCAATATTATCCACAAACCTCATTAAGGAAAAATGTTTTAATGTCCTTCTCTCAGAGAAATTACACATATTTCCAGTGCAGAAAAAACAGCTGAGCTAAATTTGGAATTTCTCTAAAACAAGAAAGAGACTATTGGAGTCTCTTTCCAAGAGAAGAACCCATGAGGATTTATTCCATGGTGACTTGGGAATTATTTATTTCCAATATACAACGTCCCAACTCAACCCAGCCATACTCTTGGAATATTGTTGGACTGAAGAAGCTCTTCAGCTTTCAAGGCTTAACACTGACTTACTCTCTCCCAGAAGTACAATGGTGTTGCAAAATATCAGGCAATGGAACTGATAACAGCACGTCAAAAGAAACACTGGGGTAGGAGACCAACACTTGGTATGTAGACAAGGAAAGCCTTGCACCTGAGCTAACAAAAGCAGAGGGAACCTGAGGAATAGGCTACACAGCCAGGTAGATGGCCAAGAGAAATGGAAAGGAATGGAAAAACAGAAAGCATAAAAATAATCCTTCAGAGAAAGTCACTAATCTCCTAGTCAGGATGAAGAGGCTACTAAGAAATGGGTGGCAGCCACAATCAAAAAGTACTGTATTTGTAACAGAGGTACCCAGGTATTTTACTCTGACTTGTCCATGATTTGTACAGATAAGAAAAGTGCAATGAGAACTTTTTGAGGGATTTACAAAGTGTTCATATGAGTGAAGGAAAGGCAGGAGGGGATTCAGAAGTGGATGCAAGTTGGTTACAAGACAGGCATTAAAGACAGCATGCTTCTGTTCTGTTTGCAGGCTGAAAAGACATGGGAAGAACCTGCCACCTCTGCCAGCTGTGCCAGAAAACTTCTTTCCTGAAGAAGTCGTGTGATTGATCTCTGAAGCAACTGCTCAGTTACAATCCCACAAGTAACATGGAATTGCTGTCTGCTTGTGTTCTCTGGTAAGTGCAGCACTTTCTTTTAATTTAGGCTGTAGCTGTCATGGCTCATTATTTCAGCCCTGGGAATCCTCTGTGTGACCCTTTGAATCAGCCAAGAGAAGCACTGTACAAATACACTTTCAGGATCTTGTGCCAAGGGATCTTCTCTTCTAGTCAAGCCTCAAAAGGTCAGGGTGTCTTCAGTGTGGTTGATTTCCCTGAACTGAGGAGGAACACAACAGTGCAGAGATCACACTCCCCCCCAGCCCCCAGAATGGTTAATAACTGAGGTGCATTAGGCTTTCAGATGGACACAGAGAAGACATTTTGTGTCCTTGATGTCTGTCTTTTATGGTATCATAAGACCTAGTAGGGCTCATCACTCTGAACCCCTTGTCAGTGGTCATTCCCACAGGCACATCCAAGCATCTTGATTTTAAGTTCTAAAGCATATATCCCTAGCAGGAAAAAAAATAGTGAAAGAAATAAATTCAGTATTAAAAAACAATAAGAAGCATAGCAGAAAGAATAATGAAAGATTGGAAATGATTTATGGGTCACTCTATATATCTTTACAGAAAGAAAATATCCAAATTACCTCAGCTTTAATAGTCATATTCCCAGTGACTGCAGAGGAAGAACTTTTAAATGTATGTATAAGACTGGAAATGGTTACAAAAGATCAGAGGCTTTCAAAATTCGCTGTGTACCAGGTCTAGTGAGTGCAGTGCCAAGAGTAATATATGAAATCTGATCTGACAGTTTCATAATTTTCCTTTGTTTGGGGAGATCCCCATGCAATGCAAACGTACAGCATCGTGCCAGGACTAAGAGACACAGTTAGTGGAAAGGACTCGGAAGTAATGACCACTGGGCAGTTTCTCACTGGCAAAATATAAAAAGAAAATGAAGAATTAAGTCCATTAAGAAATCCCAAGGAACATGGTTTAGATTAAAGGACATTCCTTTCAGCCAGGAGGCTGGAAGGTTGATGTAGCACTGCTCGTGCAGATGTTTGGAAAATATTTCACAAACTCTTGATTTTGGAGAGTGCTTCTAAAGGCTGTTGCTCTTCCACTGCTCTGTGCCACCTCCAATTTATCTTAAGCATAAAATAGGAAAAAAACCCAGAAACTACAGCTTCTAGTTAAACAGGAGAGTTCTTTTTAAAGAAACACAATAAAACATAAGATGTTATGGTCCAAATCCTGTAGATCTGTGGTAGGCTGGCAGGTCTCCTTTTACCTATGAGCAATAAAAATGAAGTAAAAGCTAATCTGTCAAAACTCAGCGAGTTTATTTCAATTCCTTGGATCATATTGGCTACATGTGAACAGTGCATAGAGCAGTAAATTGCTATACTGAAGTCCTGGGAGTTCAGACTTGGTTGTGTGGTTTGTCTTTAAAAATCTGGTTCTATATTATGCTCCAGGTAGTGATTTTTACCAGGATTCTGTACCTGGCAACAGCACCTCAGCCCATCTCTGCGTGAATCCAGTCCAACTCTGAATATCTCTAGCACTAAGCACACAGAAAGATTACTTAGGTAAGATCTCAAGTAAGGGAGCTTGTGTCAGGGGCCAAATTCTGGGCCAATGCTCTGAGGTTCTGCTCATTAGTTTTGCAACTTTTTTGTTAAATTCTGACTTACACTTGACAAGGAGCTTTGAGTGTTCAAGTTGAAGGGTGAGAGCTCCTTCTCTCACACAGAAACAAACCTGCTTCCTGGTGCCAGTTCAGCTCTGACAAAAGGACATCCCAGCTCTGCTGATGTTCTCTATGCTACATTTTCCTACAGGAGAGGGGAAATGCTGAATGTTGCTGTTCCCCTGCCTGCTCCCCCTTTCTGACTGCATCTTTGTGTGTGTTTTCTGATCATCTCTCCAAGTCTCTCCCTCATTGTCTGGAGAAGGTGTTACCTAATGGCCATTCCCCAAGGAAACAGTTTCTCCTTTCCTAACCACATTTCATTGTCCCAAGTGCAAGATGTGATGAGGGATGGCTCTTGTCCTAATGAAAGAGAGTGAAGGTTCCATTGACTTCACCAGGGTCAAAACTTCACCCTCTAGGACCCATTGGTAGAAATGGGAGGCAATTTTCATTTTCACAGAGAATTTGCAACCCCTTAATTGTGTTGAAACCTCCAATATTTCCTTCACGGGGCAAAGTTCGTATCTTCTTTCAGATGAATGTAGTGGCTGAGCGTCATCTGCTGCTGCAAAACCTTTACAAGTCACTTAAAACTAGAGCAGGAATAAAAGAGAAGCAGGGTGGGAAAGGGTTGTTTGCCATTAAACACCAACACAAACCCAGCTTTTTGTCTGTGCCCTTCCCCCTTTTTGTTCACACACTCCTCTTCACCCTTCAGACAGCCTTAGAATGCTAATTTTTCTAATCACTTGGAGAATAAAAACTATTATAGAAATCAACTGAAATATTATTCTAAACCCTGTTTAATGAGACTGGATCCACACCTATAAATAAAGTCTTAATCTTAACTTCCAAGACAAGGGTGTGGGAAGTACCAATACAACCTGACACATTCAAATTCAAAGCAAGTATCTGAAACCAGTTTCAAAAAGGGTTGTTTAACACATACTGGCAGGTGGGATTTATGAAGAAATGGTTTTAAATAAAAGTCTAATTGTCCTCTTTTCACAGATGTTTAGGATTTCTCTTCACAAAGCAGATGATACAGATGCTCAGGAAGATTCAGTGAAATGATGGTGTAATGGTAAAGATTTGATTGTGCTAGTCCACCGGTTTGTGAACTTTAAGGTATTCAATTATTCTGATTTTTCTCAGGGTAGAATCTTGTATGCATGTAACCCCTGGTTAGCACTAATAACAATATGAAACCCTTCCCACATCAAAGCTGTGACTACATGCTTTTGTCTGTCCTAATGGTTTGAGAGAAAATCTTGATAAATCAACATGAGTTTTTTCTTTTTCCTTTTTTTTCTTTTCCTCTTTCTTAAGTTTTGTTGTCTTGATTAGATAAAAAATAATAGGGGGCTGTCAATCTGTTTTCTTTTCAGGTCTTCTCTGCCTCTTTCTAAATTAGTTACAGCCTGCTTTTTGTAGCTTTATAGCCAGCCTGACCTAATTTAATTACCATGACTTGTGTGGCTTAAAGATAAATAGTTTTATTCAGTCTGCCTACTTTTGTATAAGTTTTCCCTTTCACACATCTCTCTATATTTTGGCATTCAGAATTCTTGTCCTCTGTTCTCGGGTAGGTTAACACAAGGTTAGTTTATAGCATTGTCCATATTTTCACACAAAGGCCTTTGATGCAGTCAGCCCCTGTTTGTGCTGGGAGTCTTTGTGGGACACAAATGAACATGAGCTGGGGAGGCATGGGATGGAAAATACACCCTTATGCCATCATGAGGTGGAAATTCTCAAAGCTTGGTCCTATACCAACACTGTCTGAGTTTTGGTTTTTTTCTTATTTTAGGAAAATACTTCAGAAATCACAGTTTGAGATTTCTTCCCCACAGATTATTTTAAACTGTGCCATAAGTGGGTGGAAGATCTCCAGCAACATAACTTTGTAGTACGAAAATGCCTTCAAGCTGTCCCAGAAGACAAGTGCTTTAAACAGAGATGTGTCCCCAAGGTACAGATCCATGGGGTTCATGCCAAGAACACGGACAAATCCTTCTACTACTGCCCTGCTGGCCACCTGGAAGTACAGAAAGCAAGCAACCAGCTTATTCAACTGCAAAATCTACTTAAAAGAAGGGATTATCATGTTCCTTCCTCTCTGGGAAAAGGGAGAAAGACTGACCAGGAAAACATGACTGATAGTAAATGTTTTGCCTTTTTTTTTTTTAAATAATTAAATATCTTACATTCCCATAATCACTGCATTGTTTTATGATCTCACAGGTAATATTCAGAAATCATCACTAATAGGAAATGGTAAAAAATTATTAAATCAGTTATATTCCCAGAATCACTGCATTTTTTTTCTAATCTCACAGAAACATTCAGAAATCACAACTGATAGTAAGTGATAAAAGATGATTAAATCTGTTACATTCCTGTAATCACTGCATTTTTTTTTTTTATACTCTCACAGGTAACATTCAGTATTCATGACTGATAGTAAATGATCAAAGATGATTAAATTGGTTCCATTCCCATAATCACTACATTTTTTCATCATTTCACAGGTAACATTCAGAAATCACGACTGATAGTAAATGTATTTTTT